AACGTACACATTTTCGGCGATAGAGGCGCACCAAGCGCTGGCAATCAGGATATTCTGGAAGAGAAGAATGTTGCCACTCTACGACCACTTTGCACACCTTACGACGAGATCACCGTATTGGGTTAGTAAATATTCTGGTACGTCATGTATGCCAAGGCCCATTGGGTCAGAGTATGTGAGCAGACCAGATTCATTGGTTACTGTGATTTCGGAAAAAAATCTAGACAATTTTCAATCAGTTGTTATGTTTTTTAGTCTTAACAAAAGAGCCGTGTTATACTATAGTAAATGCATCTATTGTCAATCCAAAATCGCTATAGAACAACTTGTCTCTCGGGGTCATTATATCGGTGAGGGCAATCAGCCTGTATCAGAAACCGCTTCTCAGTTCCGTCTGATTTTCTATACATTCTATTATTGTTCCTGACGATCATATTACTTTTCATACATCTAGCTAACAGATTAATCCCGATCGGCGAAACATATTCACAATTAAGGCTTTTGAAAAATGTCGTCTGGCGGGGCTGCACAGATTAAAATTAATCAGTTCACTTCCTGTTTCATAATACACAATTCACCGAGGCAGAGCAAAAGAGAATAATCTCAAAATTTTCCCAAACTTACTGCACTAATCCTGATCATCCACTCTTCGACAACAAGTGATTTTAGCAAAGTCGCCTGAGGGCACCGCGCTTGACTCGACAGTTCCATTAAGAACTGGTGGATACTCAGGACAGAAATCGGTTCCAAATGGTGGTCCTGAAGTAAGGGCGGTTCCAAAGTCTGAGCATTCGTAAATTCACTAGTCATCGCTGTAGTGCTTCACTCAAATCGTAATTTATTGGGTCAATTTTAGGAAGAATTCAAACTGACTCGGTTCTGCAGGAATGAACTCAAGCCAACAGAGAATAAACACCTCCAGAAGCATCGCTAGCTGATCCAAGAAATTGGTTTTGCTACTGAGAAACTCCCCTATATACCCATTTAGCCTGATGAAGCTTGCAGCAAGTCTGATGTGAAATGTCATCACCACAACAACTCAAATGAACACAGGAATGTAGAGCGATCTATTGAAAGTCGGTCAAGCAATAGTGCTTGTGCATATACCGAACCGACCTGCTACAAGTATAGTACTTTGTGATATAACTAAGGGCGCTCATCCATCGACATTCGCGCAAAGTCTGTTAAACTCTGACCCTTACATGCAAGCAGAGAAATGAAGCGACCTGCTTGTAGCGTGTGGTGTTAATATACTCATAATTGCTCGCAATACTCTTGCAGAGTGGAGAGCCACTATATCTGATGGAGACGCCTGCTCGCAATCACGTTACTGAAAGCGTTCGAAGGAATGACTTGTAGAATATTATCTGCAGAAAAGAGAATGCACTCAGCCACGTTACTGTGAACATCCAAACGCAAAAGCAGAACAATGTGCCTGACTGTCTCAAAAAAAGAAATATGATCCATTCCCAGAATCCACTTGCGGCTTAGGAAATCACCGCTTCACTGTGAACCAGTGTTTAACCTCCATTCGGCCTCTGACACTCATCACCGAGTCATGCTACTAAGCAGACTAAGCAGTATTCATTGATGAAGTGATGTATGGTATATTGGTTATTTTCAGTGAATCACTCCATCGGCAACCGTGGATTTGGTCTTTTTCATGGTGTTTGATGAAAATTCGATTGCATGGTGCACTTGAAAACTTTTTTTTTTTCAGCGCAAAGCACTTCAATGTCACTTTTCATGGACTGAATGTTCGGGCTATGGTACGTCGTGAAATGTTTGAAGTTCCGCTGTCAAAGGACCATCTGACATTCGCCGATGTTCACATGGTGTTTACTAGGCTGAAACTTGCATTTTAGAATGACTTCATCAATGCGCATTGCCAGATGTATCAAAAGCTTTTCTCCAGTGGTATGCGATATTTAATTAGACGAGCGCTCAGGTAGCTTAGTGGTAGTGAGACCGTTCGTTATGAACAAAGCTCAACCAATTTAACCTTGTGCGGGACCCCTGTCATCCTTTCGATGTGAAGAATTAGTGCCAGACCTGATTGTTGGGAGGGTGAGTTGAACCAGTCAGGGAAAACTAGATTTTTCAGCTAATTTCTACTGAATCAAAGCCTCATAATCACAACGAGGATTTCTGGAAAACATCGTGGAGGTTGGGTCGCTGTGGCCGACTTTTCAACCATTTATGTTTTCTTCAAGAACAAGTAGCAAAAAAACTTTGGTAGTCGAAAAAAACTGTTATATGATGAAAGGACATACTTCCATTCTCAATTTAGAATGTCGGCGTTGCTCGATTTTCTTCTCGACTTCCATTGCGTACTCTTTTCGTATCTTCTGATCATGAACTCTGAACAAATTGAACTAAATCATTGTACTTTGAAATTTTACAATATTAGCCAATTACTTGTACACCGCGCCGAATCCTCCTTCACCGAGTAGACTGACGACGACATAGCTTTGCTGAACTCGATTACTGTCCCCTAAACGCATTTGACCAGTGAGGGTTATGTCACGTTTCCTATGAGTTATAATGATAAGAAACGAACCGGTTTGATTCCAAGATCGTCTTCCTCCTCCTCGCTCATGTGTAATTATTCAGCAAATAATGCTCTATCACACTTTGTTAATACTTTTATAGTGGAGTTAGACATAACAAGTTAATGTTGATGATATTGCGCTAATTTCAATGCTTATCTCTTATCATTATTCAAAATCATTTCTCTCATGACATTTTTCGTTCAATCTCGTTCAAGGTGGTCAACCATATCATAGGAGTTGGAATTGTGTCGAAATACTGAGTAAACGAGAGCAAACCCGATTCCACAAGATTGTTTCCCATTTTTTTTGGTTAACACACGTATTGCGTAAGCTGATTGTTGTTGACTTGTTTCACTGCTAGGAAGGAAGTTCTTAACGGAAGCGATGGTTCGCGTCCTAACTGGACAAGTTTTCCGTTGATTACTCAGCCTACTCGTCATCGTCTTTCTCATAAAATATTCATCGAGTTTTCACGGCTCTTACTTTGAACGGTGGAGATTGAGAATATTCTCACAATCTAACTACTACATTGAATGAATCAGTAGAGACAAATGCTTTAGGCGACTATGCATCTTTTCAGAAAGGTGGCCGCCGTGTGACAAACGGCTTTGATCATACCATTTCAGTTTATGACAATACATATGTGATTTTACTTTCATCATTATGTTAGAGCAGCACCGATATCACATTGTTTCCTTATGCCAAGTGAGATATTTGCTCTGATGCGTTCCATTCAAAAATATTCTTTGTCACACGCCACGTAATATATACAAATTTACTATCTTGGAGGAAGAGTATTTGAGGCCTGTGCGAGATTGAAATGTTTATGATTGAGTTATATTTTCAAGATATTAAGGTGTTTGTTTCCAGTGTTTCTTGAGACTACGCTTAAACTTCAATATGACATAGTTATTTTTGAGCCGTGTATGTGATCTGTTATAGGCACTTATGCATTACAATACACGTGTTTTGGCATTGCAGCCTCATCAGTTGCACGGGATCTTTTTGTTCACTCAGGTCCTCGGGGATCTACCTTTGAGACTCCTCTATGTAAAGGGAAGATTTCCGAGGAACTGTCTGGACAAAAAGGCACCATGCAACTAATGGGGCTGCAAGGCGAAACACGTATAGTGCACTGTACAAGTGCCCATAACAGACCACATGCATGGCTCAATAATAACTATGAATTATTTTCAAAATAATGTGGACTTATCAAATGTATTTACATGCGCATTTTTCGCTTTACTTTTTGTTGCGGATGACGTATTACATGTTGTATAATCAAAGAAAATTCTTTCTATTCAACCGCTCTAGCGGTGGTATGATGTCATAAATATATATTCAATAATGTTGGGTGATATACAAAAGTCTCAACTTCAAACGGGAAGCGAGTCCACATTCCACCTTATCTTGGGCACGTGCTACCACTGCACTATTGGCGCTATTGCTGTGCCATCACTTGAGTTTGACATCACTTAACATTATTGGATATGCTTTTGTAATATCATAAAACCGTCAAAGCCTTCATATAAAATATTCAAAGTTGATTTCACCTGTATTCAATCTGTTAGCGTATATTAACGGTTTAGTTACGAGTAGTTGTGATGCTCGTAGCGACTCGCGTAGAGCCGGGCTCCACCTTCGCCCATCATCTCTCTCTGGCAGTCAACAGCAACGCCCTATGGGATCCCACAGCAATGCTATCCTCGAGATTGCAAGGGTTACTCGCTCAACCAGTATTCTACGCCGTTCAAGGAGAAGGCGAATAACGAAGTGAATGCTGGAAGCACTGCAATCCGAACATTAAAAAAAATACGTAATGATGGAATAAATAAAACGAAAAAATTGTGAAAGTTTTCAACGGGGCAGATTTTGTCTTATTATCTTCGCATACATTTTCGCTAGTTTCCCAAGTTGTTTCATAAACACTCAATCATTTCTCGTTGGTCGACAGATAGCACTGTCGAAAGAGCGCAACTTCTTGATTTATTTACAAAGCGATTTGGAGGTGTACGACCGCCATCTGCGAAATCCCAAGAAACTGTATTTATTTGTCATTCAAATAATAATAACGACGATATTATCGCAAAAATGTCATATATACCTAAGCGAATTGGGTGGTAAGCAAAAATACGACCTCAGGCGTGAGTCGAACCCGCGTTTCATCCATACTGAGGACGAGTGCTACCACTACACCATTGAGGTACATTCGCTCTGTCACTCATTCTTCAATATCTCTATGAAGCTGTCAGCCACTAACCTTTAACGGTCTTGATCGGGTATGCTATTTCGCTTTATAAGCCCAGTTGAAATCGGATAACCGACCAAATCTCTTGAAAAATCTCATACGCGACCAAACCTGTCAAAAATCGCATGCCCGATCAAACCTGATAGGTTGGTGGCTGAGAGCTATCATAGAGATATTGAAGAATGAATGGTGATGCGAATAGCTCGGTGGTGTAGTGGTAGCACGCATCCCTGTTGTGGATGAAGCGTGGGTTCGACTCCCTCCTGAAGTCGTATTTTTGCTCAGCACTCAGTTCTCTTTGGTAGATGTGAAGCAGCATAACACTGCGAAAAAAAGCAGTAAAAACACTAGGAATTTAGAGCAAAATGTCAACAAGAACGGCTCAGTAATGCAAATAACTTGCTGTATCGCAGTCTTTTTGTTGCTTCATTATTCTCCCATGTGGTCGCCCTAATCTTTTTCATCACTCTCTATTTTGTAGTCCCTTTCATGATGATACCTCAAGTACATTGAGGCAGAAATCTGAGAGTGAAAGACATAAATTTTCACCTGACCTAAGTTCCATCGTTGTAACCCACTTAGCATGAGGTAAGCAAGCCCTTCTCTATAGTTTCTCTGCCGGCTGGAATTTTGGTAGATCTGAATGCTTTTTCCTAAGTAAAGAATACTGATAACATTTATGTTTTTGATATATTTTACCGCTAGACACATTTTCCAAATAACAGAAAAGTTGTTCACACATGGCCTCACAAAATCACGAATGTTCAGTTGAATGCTTGTTTCTTTTGTAAAATTTATTTTCTCCATGAAGTTTACACGGTTGGTCATCACAAGTTTCTGCGCGGATTACAGCATTTTCGGACCTTCGAACACTTCACATGTGCTTCGAATGCTGTTCAAGGATTGTTCCCTTATTTGAGGATGTCGCACTATCCTGTTGGAGACGGTTCTCTTTGAAATCTTCGTCGGAACAGAGCTAAAGCGTTCTTGGGCGTTCAGTTGATCCGGATTCGAGTGCTGGACTGGGAAGTGAGCCAGCGCTTTACTTATCGTCTTGACTCTTGATGCACTGCACCACTAACCTATCCTAGCGCTATCCTTTCTACATCTCTGATATTACTACGTCGAGCGAAAACTTTTGGGAAATTTTTGAAAGTAAGATTCTGACATCTCTGTGTGGTGTTTGGTAATTATACATAGGATGAAGGATAAAGCTCACGTCGTTGATCATTCCCTGAGGGATGGGCCATGCATTCGTCTTCAGTTTCTATTTCGTTTGAGATGATTGAATGCATATATGGCCTTTACAATGACTCGCGGTGGCTTCCCCCTGAAGCAAGCCAGTGCTGCTTATCCCATCAGACAAGTGTGAGACCAGTCTGGTACCACTTTACCGATTCTGTATCGATTGATAGCTTGGTAAGCCATGAACACAAAATTGAACAATCAACCATGTGTGCGACATGGGGCACCTCTAACCACTGCTCCACATGCGCTCTATATATATATATATATATATATATATATATATATATATTATTTATATATTTATTTATTTATTTATTTATATATATATATATATGTATATATATTCCCAAGACTGACTGTCTATTAACCTCGGCATGCTTCAATATAATTCCTGATTTTCTTCTTTAAGCCAAACACGAGGTGTTACATTAAACTTCATTTCACAACTGACGTTCCAGCAGTTCGCCTTCTGCAGAGCCTGAAAAGGTCAAATTGTCCGCAATCCAATCAGTCAAATACCTCCGTTACTCCTTTAGAAAAATTCATCAAACCTAGATTTCAATCGCATCAAGCACAAAATCAACGCTCAACATACTCACCGCTTTTCATATGTGTTCCATTGAATGATCCAAGTGGAGATCACTGGATGGAGATTACATAGGCTCGTGATGCATCCTATTCATCAAAACAACAGTCTTATAAACTGACTCAAATCACGAGTGTTTACGAGACATTCCCCCCTGCGGTTTATGATTGAATTGGTCGTATTAATCCAAAACGCGTCCAAGATCTTTCGCGCTGATGTTTTTTGCTCCTGTGCAAAGATGGTGACTTCGATTTCAAAATCAACTCCGTCGTGCTCCTGTGCTCTATGCGTTCCTTGCGGGTGTTTCGTCTATTAAGACGCTTGTCAGCTAGGTGTTCTTCTATGCGGGCATAGAGCGTTCTACCCGTTTCGCCTATATATTTATCACTACACGCTTTGCAAGAGATTAGGTAGACTGTATCTACGCTCATGCAATCACCGCCTCTGCCGTAAGGGCATATTTTACAATCCTTCGTTATACAGAGAAGGTCATATAAGCGGATGCAAACTAGTTGGCGTCTTAGAGTATTCGGCGCTATTTCAATAATGGCCACCGATTGCTTTAAACCCGCTCTTTTCAAACAGCGTTTCATAGCTGTACTTATGTCATCTGAAAAGAACGGGAGGATAAACGGAACTTTCCTTTCATTCGAGTTTCCGTTCGGAGGCGTATCATTTCCTCTAAACCTTAACCGAGGGGCTACAAATTCGTATCCATTAAAAGCGGCTATTTCCCGAGCCAGTCTCAGGGATTCTACTCTCTGCTCCTCCCAGGTATATACATTGGCTGCTGTTCGAAACATGTTTTTTACCAGCGCCTTTTTCATATGTGAGGGATGAGAAGAGAGATAGTGAACCAGGATATTCTTACACTTGGGTTTCGGTACCACTTTGTTATGTAGCCGCTCTCATTTAAGCTTATGTACACGTTCAAGAATGGAAGATAATCGTCTTTTGGTATTGCACGGGTGAATTTTATATACTCTGACTGTTCATTCAACAATCTAAAGCAATCATTCGGCTCCTCTTAAGTGTAACAGATAACCAAACAATCATCTATATACCTACAGTAGAGTAATGGTCGGAGATCCATCACTGGTGCTTCTACTTTCGACATAAAGGCAATCGCCAGGCTAGGTGCCAGTCGCTGTCCCATTGCCAGCCCTCTCATTTGAGTATAATATTTCCCGGAGCATCTAATCTAATTCTTGTAAAGCGTGTAGTGATGAATATATTGGCGAAACGGGTAGGCCGCTCTATGCCGGTATAGAATAACACCTAGCTGACAAACGTCTTAATAGACGGAACACCCCGCTAGGGACGCATAGAGCACAGAAGCACGACGGAGTTTATTTTGAAATCGGAGTCACCATCCTTACGCAGGAGCAAAAAACTTCAGCGCAAAAGATCTTGAAAGCGTTTTCGATTAATATTAATCCAACCATAAACCGCAGGCAGGAATGCCTCGTTATCACTCGTGATTTGAGTCAGTCTATAAGACTGTTGTTTTGATGGATAAGGTGCATTACGAGCCTATGTGATCTCCTTCCGGTGGTCTTTACTTGAGACATTCGGCGGAACACATATAAAAAGCGGTGAGTATGCTGAGAGTCGATTTTGTGCTTGATGCGATCGAAATCTAGGTCTGGTGATTCTTTCTAAAGGAGTAATGGAGGTGACTGACTGATTGGATTGCGGACAATTTGACCTTTCTAGGCTCTGAAGAAGGCGAACTGCCGAAACATGAGCTGTGAAATAAAGTTTAATGTAACACCTCGTGTTTTGCTTAAAGAAGAAAGTCAGGAATTGAATCTTTTCATTTTTCATTTCTCATTTTGACCGCCGAAATATAGTGAAAGTTTATTTTTCAGTTTATTACCAAAATTTCAAAATCTAACGCGCATGATTCCGTCAGCGATGCGCTTATCTGTCGAATGACAACCGCCGAAAACTATATGACCCTGCCAATAAGATGAAAGAACATTTTTTTCATCACGCTGATGTGCTAGGACGACGAAACTTTTTATCATCTGCCGTTGCTGAGGTGCATGAGTCGATGAGCGATGTTAATAAACTGATAGGCGCCGGTGGTGCAACGGTTAGCATACGCTCTCGGAAAGAGTGAGATCTGGGTTCGAATTCCGGCTGACGCAAATGTTTTGCACAGCACTCCACATTATTGGGTGTAATAGGATTTTGTCGAATAGGACACAATGATATTCCTGACAGAGCTGTTATCATGGCGAATTCTGCACTAGTATTCATTACTCCTTTCAAATTTCCACCTTTGATTTTCGGAACCTAAATGCAATCAAAGATAATTTCGAAAAAAAGAGAATGTATGTAGCTTTTCGGCCTTTTGCGTAAGTATGCGTCACAGGTGTCAATAAATACGAAAAATTAATCTACAAAATCAAGTCAAAGCTCTACCAAATATATATTTCTTTTCGATATAAACGCGAGCCTTCAATGCATTCCCTTTTGTCGTACTTCAATACATAATCGTCACTCCAACCCTATTTATAGGGTTGCGAATAAACAACCTGATCTATCGAGGTGCCATATTCTGAAAATGCAACCTACACTATTGCATCTGTGATATCCACGAGTATCTGTGATATCCATATACACGAGTATATATGCATACTGGTCTTTTCCACTGGTGGTTAGTACCTCATATGTGGAATGGGCCTGCTAAGAGCATAAAAGAATGAAGGATAAAGCTCTTGGCGTTGATCAATCCTTGATGGATGCGCCATGCATTCGTCTTCACCTGGCATTGTTTGAGGCGATTGGATGCATATCTGCCCCTTACAATACCTCGCGGTGGCCTATCAATGTACCAGTCAGTGCTGCTGTCCGTAGACAAGTCTGATACCGATTCGCCATGCCTGGAAAGATGGAAGGTTTGGTGAGCCTAGAACGCGAGACCGACCCAAAGACCACCGATTGGTCGATCATGTGTATGTTGCACAGCACTTCTAACCACTACGCCACAAACGCTCCTGGCAAGCGCATGTGATGGAGAAATTTTTTCGAGTGTAAGTGGGGTTTAAAGCCGAGATGTAGAGAAAGTAGATGGCACGGATAAAGAATCTAAAGACCTTTGTTGATGCTGGATGCGGAGAAATTAATTCAGTGCACTAAGTGTCGTAACCCGCGCAGCATGTTACATTTGGTCATGTAGAGATAATAATAGATATAATATTAATTCACTTCGATGTAGAGTGATGTGCCAAAGCTTTGCCTCAAATGGGATTCGATTTCACATTTTCTCCTCTCTAATGGCGCGTGCTCAAACCGTATTGCACAACTTCATCTCTCCGCGAAAAGCGGTCAAATAAAAGGAAATGTTTGATAGTTTAATTCACTTTACTCCTCAAAGAAAGCAGCGGTGCATCAAAGAAGATCTCCATAAAAATGTGATCATACATGTTA